AGCAAGGTCTGCTGTCACAGGAGCGGCGGTTTCGGTTTTTTCGGCTTCGCGTATCCTGGTTGAACAAGGTCAAAGGATCCCCGGAAATCGAAACTTAACACAACAATGCCAATCAGACATGGTAATCAATGGTCATTTTTTCTATGTTACATAGTTTAATTAACGTGATTTATATAACAATCTAAAATGGGGATAATATGACATATTATGGAAAGATCGGTACTTAATAGGGACTTATTCAATACTCAAATGGTTCAATGACTTGGATGATTTGGGGGTAGCTGAATTTTAGGACCACCCAAATGGTTTTTTTACATGAGTTAATCATCTAATATCGAGATATTATGGAAATATAATGAGTATACATAACCAATGATGATCTGGTTGGTGGTTTCAAAAAGTTTGTTTGTTCAACCATTTTTCGATGTCATGATGCCCAACGTGACATATATACGATATTATACGATATGAAAAATATTGTTTCAGATGGGTGGCCTACCCACCAATCAGGTGCATAGCTGCTTGAAAGATCACCTGTTTCAGATGGAGTCTTGTTGGTTCCCAAGCTGAACATATGGCTGGCACGACTTACAGGACCTGAGACATAAGAGAGCGCTAGAGCAAGCGGAAAGCAAAGGTTCGGATGGCGGGTTCGGATGCCTGGGCAATGCTGGAAATAGATATGGAGGATTCCATTAATGTGGGTACCCAAAATAGATGGTTTATATAGAAGGAACATCCTACTAAAATGGATGATTTATTGGGGATGCCCCCATTTCAGGAAACCTCCAAATGGAAATAACATGTTGGGGACATCTGAACATATCTGACATCTTTAGGGAAGACCGAAAATGAATGCAGTTATAAAGATGTGTAAAGATTGAAATCATAATGATCTGGTTGGACATGGACCAAGGCACCAAGGGAAGCAGAATGCCAGTCCTGGGTTCATTACCAGAATGGTGACCTGGTGGATTGATGGTGGTGGAAATGACCCAAAGATGGTTCAAATCACTGGTAATGACCTTGTCATTTTTTTTTCCTGGTTCATAGTATTTGGATGGTGGCTTCAAGAATCAGTCTGCTGAATAGTTGAATAATTGAATAATTCTTGGTCACTTTAAACTGAAGTCATAGAGGTATAAACCGGCCTAGAACGGGGGCAAAACACAATGTATACACGGCCATCCACGGCCGTCTCTTGCTTCGGAATTTTTCCTCCCTATTTTGGATGACCTAAGTGACAAGCCTATTTAGGCATGCCATGAAAGGCTCAGGGCTGCGATCACCTATGGTAGCCATGACTCATTCGTAGATGATTTAGCTATTTGATGCCATGAAATATGACTCAATATGAACATTTTCCACAGCTATTTTGAATTACCAACGGCCAAGATTTATTTGATGGTCTGAAGACCACGGAGATTGGATCATGATCAGGATCTGGTGTAGATCTTGAGGTCAGACTTTTAGAACTTTCAAGAACCCCTTCAGCAAGTTTATTTGACAATGATACAATGGACAACTGGTTGGTTTTGACAATGATACAATGGACAACTGGTTGGTGGTTTGGAACATTTTTTCCCATTCAGTTGGGAAGAATAACATCCCAACTGACGAACTCATATTTTTCAGAGGGGTAGGTATACCACCAACCAGACAATGTTGACCCTGAATTGGGAATGATATGAAATGATTTATATCTCCTAAGTTAGTGAGGTCGACCATCAACCAAGCTTTCTCACAAATTCTGGATGTGTTTCCCTCCAAAAAAGCATAACTGGTTGGTGGTTTCAAACATTTTTTATGTTCCATAATACATGGGATGTCATCTTTCCCATTGATTTTCATATTTTCAAGATACTTAAAACCACCAACCAGATTGTTATTAACCATCATTAACCATATAATAACCATATATAAATCATATAATAACAATATATCAATCATATATTAACCATGGTATGTACTAACTATTATATCCCTTAAACTATGGTAATTATGTCTCATTGCCACCAGGTGAGATTCATGGAGGATGTAAAACTTGACCATTCAACCCAGCTCCAAGCAAGCAGCTGGGCTCATGCCGTGCCGAGGCCCGAAAAGAAGCTCAGAAAAGGTGAGCTGCTGAAAGTGGACAAAAGCGAGTTGCACCTTGGCAGATAGGAACTGTTTGCGATTTTGAAGACCTGGAAGTTAGGTGTCTGTTAAATATGGAGGGAAGTGGTTTCCCCAGTGACCTTCAAGATATTTAGTTTGGCAGGAAAGTGAATGTTCGGGCACAGATCCAGGAGTTGTCGGTCAAGTTTGCATGAGCCATCCTTGATTTTCATTCAACCCACTGTTCCTGATGCCTACAGCTTGCTGGTTTCACAAATTTCTCAGGTTCCATGAGCTTCCATCGCAACCGTAAGCCTCCACTGGGATCATTTTAAAGGGTGGAACACCATCCTGATGGGGTACCCATCATTTAACCATTATCGTCAGAAGATGTAATATATATATATATATACCTGTATTGGGTTGATGGCCATCAATCCATTTTTACTTTTGAGTAGGTTATATATATATACTATAAAACTATGGTTATATATGGTTTTATATGGTTTTAGTAGTTATATGGTTATATTTTATATGGTTTTAGTAGTTTACACACCAGATACCTATACACTATGTTGGCATTCTCATGGCATGGCATGGGATGGATCCATTCACAGACGTCCCAGGAGAGCGAAAAGTTTCTGGACCAAGGACGGCAATTCACCGATGCGAAGGGTGGGATGTCTGGTGACTTTAATGGGATTTTACCATCTAAAATAGGAATTGAGAATGATATGATGGGGACTTTAAAAGTGGTTGGTAACCATTAACCAATGGGATTTTTCAAGGGATATTAATGGTTAATTATGGTTAATAGTGGTTAATAATGGTTAGTGAGACAACTGGTTGGTGGTTTGGAACATGAATTTTATGACTTTCCATATATCTGGAACTTTATTATCCCATTTGACGAACTCATATTTTTCAGAGGGGTAGGTATACCACCAACCAATATAATTGGGATATGATTAATAATGATGATAATGGTCTAAAATGGGGCTTGAACCATCTATCACGGGGATATCATGAATAACCAATGATCTGATCAGGTGGTTGAACAGTTGTTTTTACTGTTCAATCGTAGACATGGGATGATGATCCCCAATGATGAGCATACTTTTTGCAGGGGCTTGAACCATGTTGAAGACACGCGCCAGATGATGTACCCTTTGGTAAACTAACATAACTATGGAAAATCACCATTTTCAATGGGTAAATCCACTATTTCTATGGCCATTTTCAATAGCTACGTTAAATTACCACAGGGTAACCATGACACATTGCATTGTCTGCTGGAAGCATGTGAGTATGCAGCATAAACAGAGGCAGAAACAAATGGGCAACAACGCACCAGCAATGACTGACAACTATGCGTATGTCAGATATCCAAAGCAATTTCTAGGTCCTAGAAATTCTAGGATTCTGGCTGCATTATCCCCCTGATGCTCACAACCCAACAACCATTGAACTGTCGAGCTTTCCATGAGCAACTCGATGACGATGTCTTGCTGTGGCACCTGTGCAATCGTTGTTGCACCTGAACGGGGACGAGCCATGGAAAATGGTCCGTTTGTGGATGGTTCACCATCTGGTTATGACTAACATAGCTATGGAAAATGGCCATTTATAGTTGATTCACCCATTAAACATGGTGATTTCCAGTTCGCTATGTTAAGATACCAGAGGGTACCTATGAAAAATAGTGATCTCCCATAGCTATATATTGAATTACCAGAGGGTAATGATCGGTTTGAGTATCATTGTGATACAACATCAGGGTCCCATCAAAAGATGTAAACATATATAAATATCTTATGAATTCCAAAGTATGCGACTCTGCAGGAGAGCAAATTCTTCGGCATCGAAAGTGACCTGGCAGATGCTGGAGAAGGTTACAACCATCACTATTGGATTATCACCACTAACGACCACTAAGTATGAATCACCAAAATTAAGGCAATCACTAGAAGTCAATTGGATTAGTGATGATGTTTCTGTAATTTGTAGATTCATGATGACTTTTACAAAAAGTCATTAAGTAATAACTGGATAATGATATTGGATAATGACCATATTAACGACTACAAATCTACAAATAGCCTATTTGTAATTATTGGATGAGTGATTATCATTATAAGTTATCATGGGCTATCGTGGGGTACCATTTTTTTGTGATGTCTCCAACCGCAGGAGTTCACTCCAACCGCAGCCCCGACGGAGATCAAGAAGGCCTCCGAAATTCGATTCGAACGCTTGGGATGGAAAAAAGCATGAGAAAAGAATGGGAAAATCCCTATAACGTGCGGCCCTCCAGATAATCAGATACTCAAGTTTGATTGATCACTAGGTTAACTAGATTGTTCATGTTGGATATATATATGGAATTAATGTAACATTGTTATACACTGGGGTTTATAAACATACATAACTTGCTGGGGCCACCTTGTAAAGCACGGAGAATTGATCAAAACATGCAATCTAACCTCAGCGGATGCGGTGTGTCTGTCGTGGGAAAAAGGCTGAAACATCCAGTCTCACCAGCCAAGCCTATGGCAGCCTATGGCATTGTTAGGTATAATTCAACCCTGGATTAATAAACCCCAATCGGCTGTCTAATTGGGAGGGTACCATTTAAGTATTAGAAATTATGGCCTTATGGCTATTAGAGGAGTACCACCCTAATTAATAAACCATGGTTTAGTCTCATCCGGGGTTGACATTATTATATATGGTTTGCCTATTAATAGCATGGTGATTTTCCATGGCTATGTTAAACAACCAGATGGTATAGATATATATATATATATACATGTATATAATGATATATAATGTTATAAACCTCTATTGGGGATAGCGACTATTATATTGAGGTTGCCACGTTGTTCACCATGATTCACTGCAGGTTGACACCAGCACCAGATGTCCTGTGACCGGCAAGAAATTGAAGGTCAAGGACCTTCGCGCCAAGCCCGTGCAGCTCGGGTTTTTTGATGTTTTTTGTTCACCCAGCGGAATATCATGGAATATCCATAAGTGGTTGGTGGTTTGGATCATGTTATCTTTCCATAATATATGGGATAATAGTTATCAGTATAACCCAGTTGTATATGGAACTACTGCTGATTGGTGGTTTGGAAGTTGTTTCATGTTTCCATATATTGGGAATAATCATCCCAGCTGACTTTCATATCTTTCAGAGGGGTAGGTAGGCTCAACCACCAAGCAGATACTGTAATTGTTGCTAAATATCTGAAATGAACAGAAACTAAAGATTCAACCTCCAAGTCTTGGGACATGGATCAAGATATATCAAGATATCTTCAGATTATTTATATATATATATAGATATTTAACCATTACATATATTCACTTCAGGTTACATTATATCATGGTTCACCATGGTTTGCAAACATGAAGAGTGTAGTTTTTGCTGAGACATGCTCATCGATGCTCATCGAATCTGGGTTGATTGACCCATCGCCACAGTAGCAAATTTTCCGGGGTGTTCCCTCCATGGACCTCGAACATCCTGAGATTCATGTGAGAAACCTGGAGCTCCAGCTTAGGTCAGGCCAATGTTGTGATTTTCATAGACGTCCAACTTGTAGGTTGATATTTTGGGTAACCTCCATTTACCGTTCTGGTGATGGCAAACGGTAAGCCAGTGGCCCCAGACATTCCCAAGAATCTCACCCATCATTTCCCCAAATGCTTTTTTGTAGCAGAAACCCTCTGGGAATCCAACATAACTTGCCATGGAAAATGGCCATGTAAACAATGGGTAAACCAGTTTTTTTTTGATCTACTTTCATGGGCAATTGTCCATGGCAAAGTGTTAAAAAAACACCAGAGGATCTCTCAACTCTCAAACAATCTCCCTTCATGGATTTCTTGAGGAAAAATCGGACAATAAAACTTGCTTACCCCCCAAAAAATATCTGGGATCTTCCTCTATCCTTTTTTTCCTTCAACTTTGGTATAGCCAAACCCTGGTTGTCCCGGTCGACGTTGAGTCGTTGAGGACCTCATCTCGGTGAAGATGGATGTGGCGGATCAGAAACTCCTGGATCAGGGGGGTGGTTCGGGACGCCCAGCGCTAAAAAGGAAGGCACCTGGGTTTCCAGAAAATGGAGGGAAAGTATCACAAAGTATAATTAATTATATAAATAATATATAAATATATATATATAGTATAATATGTATATATATAATTATATATATATATAAGTATGACATTAGCCAATCTATAGTATATTCAGAATATTGATCATCCCATGTGTTTGTAGATTTCTAGACATCTTTCAGACATATTCCATGAACGACTGTTGACCCGTCCAGGACTGGTGATCCTCCAAAAAGATAGACATGTACAACGTTATCACTATTCAGTTGGATTTTACATGATTTTCATCACTATAAAATCACTATTTATATAGGGGGATTTTACCATGATTTTACAAGATTTTTCTTTTCTATCTTTTAGGGACTTACTAATTTACTAGAAGTGTGTCAACAAAAAAAGCTCTGCATGATGTGAGTTGCCCAATGGTTTGACAAAAGGTTGAGACAAGAAAAACTGACCGATGGCACAACAGCTGAAGGTTTTTCAGCCAATGAAACCAAGAGGTTTTTACGGTCTCCAAATTAGCGCCATAGCTATCCAGTGGTGAATGGAGGGATCGGTTCGAAGCCCATGGGTATCCGGTAAATCAGACATAACAACTGAAAATCCCCGAACTAAATGGAGGCTTCAATGGGAAAATCAACAGTCTCTGGTTGCTGGTTTGGAACATTTCTTATTTTCCCACAATATATGGAATAATCATCCCAACTGACTCGGGGTAGGTATACCACCCACCAGGTATATAAATGGTGGATTTTCCAGCAGGCCATGTGTTTGATGTGTGGTTCCCAGAGGGTATCCCGGATGGTTCCGATGAGTTCTGATGATTCAGATGCACAAAAAATGCCTACCATAGCTACCTTTTTCATGAGCTCAAGGAGCTCAAAAGATTGGCTTGGAACATGATCAATTCATGTTGGGCAAGACTCGACCTGACCTTCTCCTGGTTGCTGATTTCAAAGATTTGCTTTATTTTCTGTTCTTGAAAATGGAATGAGGGTCTTTAATTGACTTTTACTTCGTTGCAACAAGATTCAAGAAAACAACCAGCCAATTTCCATGGCTAAATGGCTCTTATGGGCAGTATTAAGTTGTTTCTATTTGCGTTATGATGCCATATTCCCATCTTGCCCATGTGAAATCCGCTGTGCCTTTTGGTGTCCTTGCCGCAATAAACTGTTGGCGTCCTGAAAAAGTATGCCATGGTCAACAGTTGGCCTAAACTAAGCATATGGTCTATAGGGCCTAGGGGCCATTCCGGGGATATCATATGTTATAAATATCTAATATTAATCAGTATTGCTGGTTGTATATAACATATAGATATATATACCCATGATGTTCCTATGAAAAATACCATAAGATATCCCTAATTAGTGTTGCAGCACGGCCAGTTGGCGCCAAGGCAAAGGCGTGTTCTGCTGTGCCGTCTCCAAGAACCCCATTGTTTTCCAGCAGGCACCGGTGAAAAAAGCGACTTTTGCTGCCTACCAAAGGCAGTTTCTATGGTGAATTTTGGTTAAACAACCATAAATAACATTAAGTAATATTAAGTAACCATTGTATACATTGACATCATTTGACATCCCAGTTTGTTTCGGTCGAACCAACTGCCAGTCTGTCATTTACTGTCCTTACCTAAAATCTAGCATAAAACAGTTGTTTAAACAGTTAGAGTGGAAGTTTTTTCTTGTGGAATGACTGTATAACTGGATGTAATTGGTGATTCAATCATTGATAAATAAAGTAATTACCAATCATTAATGAGTAATTACCAATTGAATTCACCAATTCATGTTGTATAATCATTGCATGGCTATTGGATATGTATTGCAATTATTGAATCACCAATTATGTTCATGTAATGACTGTATAATTACTTATATTTAGTCATAACATAACAATGTGAGGCCCCCGTTCGATAGCGGAAAATTGGTGCAAATAACTAACTCCAACTATAGTAACTATAGTTTATGGTACGCAAATAACGAACTAGTAGTTGGTTTATAACTCCAATGTCACTATGGTTTATGGCACTTATAGCTATAGTTACTGGGGCGAATCTGTTAAACCAACGTTCACATCACAACGGGGGGCCCTGCTGTTGTAACAACCGGAGGCGCTGCTGTTAAAACCCAGTGGCGTTGGGGTGGCCCAGCCCGTTCAGAAGTTCGCCAGCTGTCAGCCTGGGACAGCTATGTTTTTGAAGCCATGGCTAGGCCAAAGAATGGGATTTCATGGTGAATTAATGGTGAATTAATGGGATTTTAATGGTTATTAATGGTGCTATGAATGGTTTAACAATGGCTCAACAATGGCTTAACAATGGTTAATAATTGGATATTTTTATGGGTCATTTGTGAAACAGTTTTTTTATTGAAGCCATGTTTCAGCTATGTTAGTTTACTGGTAAGTTTCAAAGCTGATTTAGTGGGGTGTGTTTGGTGTGTTTTGTTTCCCGCAATGATCATTGTTCTTGTGTGGATACCCTCTGGTAAACTAACATAGCAATGGAAAATCACAATTTTTAATGGGAAAATCCATTATAAATCACTATTTTCAATAGCTATGTTAGACATAACCAGAGGGTATCTCAAACTGGTTGGGATGGGGTTAAGGCAACCAGCATAAGGAGGGACACACCTTAGATGACAGATGGCTTCACCTGGCAGTCTGGCAAGGTTTAACCAAAGATGTATAGCAATTAGTAACAATTAGCATAGGACATCATACTGGAAAGCTGCATAAACATCATAAACCTTGGATGAGTAGATTAAACATCATAAACAGCATCACAAACTAGTGAAAATATTTTGCTGATGGATGGGGATACCAACGATAAATCTATTTGTCACGGTAACGACTGTCCATGTGATGTAAGATTTACCACCGCACAAGGTGGATATGTTCGTACCAAACTGCGGATATTCAATTTGACCCATATACACATGAATGAGGATACTCATGATTGGCATAGGGATAAATATCATTATTTGGGCCTATCATGAGTGGCCTAGATTTGGCATATTCCTGTGATTCTGTTCCAGGACTTCCATTCTGACATAAGGATAATATGCTTTGTCTCTTGAGAACTTCACACAATGAAGTCTTGCAAACAACTCGGGAGGATACTTCCAATCTTCGAGTGCTGAACAGATGCAATCATTTTCTTTTACATTTACTGTACTATGGCTGAGATAGGTTGAAAAAAAGAAACATGAAATGATACGAAAAAACACATCCTAACCATTCAGTTTTTTCTTTTTAAGATCCGACATGACGAGCTCATCGTTGTTTTTAGCCATCGCTATCATCGCTCAGGTGGTGATCTTAGAAAGTGTCTGGAAAGACATCGTGGGCAAAGAGATGAAGTGCCCAGCTGCTTGACCAAACATGGCAGAGCAGGTCCCTAAAAGGTGATGATTTTGTGTTTTACAGGTACTAAGATATAGTGGTTAATGGTATATCAAGGGGAATAACATATATATATATATATATTGTGATTCTCAAACCAGTAACTGATGATAAGAATAACCCTGTTAATAAACCACCTTAATCCAGAAAGGGATCCCATAATCTTGCCACCACTGGAGGTCCACAGACATCAGCCAATATTCGCCAGACACGTGGCTCAGGCGAGCCCTGAGGTGGGCGGTGAGGGTTTACTTTCTTGTGTCTTCAGCCATAGTGGTCTACAACCGCGACAGGGTCGCGACACCAAACAACGTGGACGAGGCCGTCCAACCAAAGGGCATACAACATCCGAATCTCAGCTGGCAGTGGAGAAAAGGCTGAGCGCTTCAGGTGGAGCCGGAGTTGAAGACAGTGGAGCTACCCCACTTACATTGGTAGCGGAGCTGCATTTTGCAGCATCCAGGCGAAGACACCATGAGCGAGACTTCTGGTGGCGAAAAGAGTGATCAACAGATCACAAATCAGCTGGCATCCCTTGTGCCGAGTTTTGACCCATCGAAGGATGACATGCAGACCTACAAGCAGAAGGTAGAGATAGTTCTGGGTGCGTGGCCCAAAACGCGCATCACAGAGCTCACAACACGGTTGATTCTGAATACACAGGGTTCTGCTTTTCAGACCTTACAGCTGCATCATGCCGAGCTCATGGCCAATGAAGAGAAATCAGTGACTCGCTTAGTGGAGTTGTTAGGTGGACAGTGGGGACGCATCGGTCTCGAACAACAGTACCAGGACGTGGAGAACGCACTGTACCATACAACACAGAGAGCAGATGAGTCACATGACTCCTTTTTGGCGAGGGCAGATGTTTTGTGGTCCAAAGCAGTGGCTAGGAAACTGTCATTATCAGATCTACAGGCTTTTGTGACACTTCGAGGTTCGCTTCTTGCACCAGAAGAAAAGAAGCGGGTGATCCTAGATGCTGATCAAAGCCTGGAAGGCAAACTGACAGTGCCTCGAGTCCGAGAGGCCATTAGGCTATTGGGAGCAACATTCTTTGCTGCCATGACTGGACAGAAAACCACTGCAAGAACCAAGGTCTATGATGCGACAACTATGCATGTGGAACATCAGGATGAGGTCAATGTAGCTGATGGCATGATCGCCATGGATGACGTCGGCACGGAGGAGGACTTCATCGAAGCTTTGGTGATGGAGGGTGAAGATGAGGACGCAATACTGGTGGCCGATTTTGAGGCCTTAGCTGCTGATACAATACAAGAAGACAGTGAACTGGCTCAGGCATTCAATGCCTACAGTGATGCTCGTCGTCGCCTTTCAGAGAAGTTTCGCAATAGAGGTTTCTGGCCGACATCAAAAGGTCCCTCTCATGCAAAGGGGAAAGGATTTGGAGGCAAGTTCAATGGTCAACGAGGCAAAGGGGGTTACAATCCACAGCGTCAGCGCAGATCACTGCAAGACCGCATCATGCAGAGCAACTGCCGAGCATGTGGTAGAAAGGGCCATTGGAAGGCCGAGTGTCCGTTCAAGTTGTCGGCACCATCCACGACAAGCCCAGCTACTTCGACGGCCCCGACATCGACGATGATCATCGAGCAGGATGCGCTGCCCATGGAATTCCTGAACTTGCCGCAGCTGCCAACTGAAGCCTCATGTCCGATCCCAGAGGAGCCCAATCCAGATGACACCCACAAAGGGGAAGTATGTTTTTTTCTAAATGGGGTAGTTAATCCAGATAGCACTGCCAGGATGAGATTAAGGGATAGTCTGAAACATTACCGGGATAGGATTCATAATGAATCGGGGGTAGGTAATGAGACTCATGCCTTAAACAACAGCCGACAACGAATGAGATCCTGGATTTGCAGGAGTAAAAGCTTGCTCAGCCCATGTGAGCCGCCGAGCCGTTTTTCCCATGCTTGCTCCTTGCGTCCAGGGAATGCCGAAGTGAATGACCATCAACAGCCAGTTGACATGTCATGCAAAACACCGACACATGCACCGAACGAACCTGAAGCCCAGGTGTGTTTTGCTACCCATGGTACGATGGCAATCCTGGATTCCGGAGCTTCCAAGACTGTAGTAGGTAGCAATCAGTTGTCCAGCCTGCTTCAGAATTTTGAACCTTCCCTGAGAAGCCAGCTCCGTCGAAGCCCATGCAGTATCACCTTTCGGTTTGGTAATCAGGGAACCCTTCAAAGTAAGGAAGCCTTAATAGTACCTTTAGGTCAACTGCAGCTGAGAATAGCCATTGTACCCGGAGAAACCCCATTCCTATTGAGTAATACCCTTTTGAGAGCCTTGCAAGCCAAAGTAGACTGCGTGGGACATGTCCTCGAAAGCCCGTTGCTTGCTCAGCCAGTACGTTTACAATTGTCCTCAAAGGGTTTGTTCATGGTAGATCTCAATGAACTGGCCGCCCAAGCATGCCAAGTGCCGCAAGACCAGCGTGTTCCGAAGAGACTCGCCACTCCGACCGAGACGTTTGTGTCCGAAGGTCAGGAAAAGAAGCAAGCCACAGCCGGATCCAGCCATCATGTCATGCAGAGTCATGCAAGAGTTGATAATCAGGTACCAGGATTAGGACAGATCTGCATGTCAGTCCCTGAATCCGAGGTCCCAGGTGTAGAACAGGTCAGTCCAGCAACCAGTGCCGCAGAAGTTCAGCAGCAATCACATGAATCTCAGAACGAGCCAGCAGAAACCCAGGTTCAAGAGACCACCACGACCGTGACTCAGACCAACGTTCTCAGTGATCATGGCAATGTCCACCTTGGCCCAAAGGCTGAATCGCCTCCAGATGCCAGTGCAGGTGGAAGTGGAAGATCTGAGCCACTTGAGCTTGGAAGAGCTCTCAGTGGAGATACTGAGCTTCGGTCAGAAGCATGCTGGCAAAACCTTTGCCGAGGCTTGGATGGACCAGGAGTGGGTGAAATTCATGGTCACCAGATACTCCCAGAGTACCAAAAGTGCCCACCGCAGGTTCCTTCGGTATGTGGAGTTGATGCTGGACCAGCACGAACAGCAGCAGACCGGGATTCCAGTGATTCCCACCGACAGCGTGCCTGTGGAGCCGCTGCAGCCCACGGCCAAGGCCAAGACAGCCGCCAAAGCCAAGGCCAAGGGAATGGCATCAGCCACTCCAGTGTACCTCCCCGACATGGAGGGCGAATGGGCTATGGAACCAGGCCAGTGTCCATCCTCGACTATGACCTCAAGCTCAATGCCGACGGAAGTAATCCCTTCCTCCTAATACTAAACCCCCCCCCCTAATACAAAACACGGCAGGTAGTTTTTAGTATTAGGGGGGTATTTATTATTAGGGAACCAAATCGAAGTCATGTTAATTAATTAATTAATTAAATTTCCTTATATAACGCAATTAAAATATTGCCAAAAATGGCAGTTCGAAGCTTACCCCTAATACTAAATTAAAACCCTTAATACTAAAAACTATTTTTTCCGATCTCAAAATCAATTAAATTTCCTTATATAACGCAATTAAAATATTGCCAAAAATGGCAGTTCGAAGCTTACCCCTAATACTAAATTAAAACCCTTAATACTAAAAACTATTTTTTCCGATCTCAAAATCAATTAAATTTCTTTATATAACGCAATTAAAATATTGCCAAAAATGGCAGTTCGAAGCTTACCCCTAATACTAAATTAAAACCCTTAATACTAAAAACTATTTTTTCCGATCTCAAAATCAATTAAATTTCCTTATATAACGCAATTAAAATATTGCCAAAAATGGCAGTTAGAAGCTTACCCCTAATTGCTAGAGTAGCTAGGCAGCTTGGAGTGAGGGATTGGGACTAGGCCCCCCTAATACTAAACACCCCGGGGTGAACTAGTTTTTAGTATTAGCGGGGAGAACCCACAAATGGTAGGTTGATTTTTAAATTGTTTTTTAAAGGGGATCAATTAAAAGTCAAATTGGCCAAACTGAAATTTTCGGAAATTGGAGATGGACGCCTGTTTTTAGTATTAGGGGGACGTTTAGTATTAGGAGGAAGGGATTATATGCACTGCAACAACGAATGCTGAACATGGAGAATGCCATGATGCGGATCATGCATCATCTGGAAAGTCAAGCCAATGCGGTGCAAGTGCCGGAGGCAACCTTCTCCGATCAAGACTGAGTGAGGACTGGTCAGCTGAGATCAATACCATGATTAGCCAGGATAGCCATGCATTGAAACACCTGATCTTATCATTTGAGACCGAACTCCAACAGGCCATCCAAAGCAACCAACCCATAGGTAAGCCATGTGCATTGGTCGAAGTTTTCTGCAGTGCCAATTCACCATTGACTCATCAGATGCAACAACAAAACGAGACTGCTTACCGTTTTGGCTACGCACAAGGAGACCTGGCATCAAGTGAGGGTAGAGCCAAGCTTTTTGGACTAATTGCTCGACATAGACCCATGGATATCTGGGTCAGCCCCGATTGTGGACCCTGGTCATCCTGGTCACAGTTGAATGCATCAAGATCGTTGGAACATCAACACCACTATGAACAAGTCCGAAAAGAGTTGCTCTATCAAATTGCTATTTGTATTGTTTTGTTTCGACATCAGTTGGAAAATCATAGACATTTCCATTGGGAACAGCCTGCCAAGTCACTCATGTTTGTCCACCCTGGACTTGCTGAGGTACACCAACATACCTATGCTTGTCAATTTGACATGTGCACGGCCGGAAATTTAAGAGATCCTCAGAACGGTTTGTTCATGAAGAAGGGAATGACCATTCTAACAACCCGAAAACATGTCTACTCACACTTGCATGGAATGACTTGCAAACATCAGCATGTACATCAACCAATGGAAGGAAGTTTCATGACATCACAGGGATCAATGCTCAGGACAAAGTTTTCCGCCGTTTATCCAAGAAAGTTAGCCAGGACTGTGGTCCGTTTGCTTCGCCAGGATG